GTTTTCCACTTCATCTTTGATCTCCTTCATAATTCTTCGATTGATGAAGTTGTAAGTGCTACCACTATAAATTATGACTTTAATCTTTTTGCTTTTACAACTATCCTTGATTTTAATGGTATTGTTCCCATACTTCCCAACTAAAGCATGCAAAGGACATTCCATGTTTTTCATAACTTCTATCATCAATCACACCCTCTACTTCATTCTTTTTTTTTTTTTCTAAATCCATAACTTCATCACTCTTTCCTTCCATTCCTTCTATTACATGTAATGTTCTTCTAGCACATTAATGGCTAGGAGAGTTTTTTTTCACACTTAAAACACAATCCCATCCTCCTCCGATTTTATAGGTTGTTTGGTTGTGTTATTATTAGGTTGGTATTAACAAGTTTAGGTTTAGTTTTGGCTTAAGGAATATATAGTTTATGGAATTGATTGGTATCAAGGACGGACCCACGTTGAGTCCTATAGAGGTTGTGCCCCCTAAACCACCTTTTTATTTTTATAGGGAATATCAATTCCTTTGGCTTATTTTTATCCCCAGCTTACTATTTCGGACCATCCATACTATGTCCATTCATTATATACATATTTAATGTATTTACACTTGCATGTATAAACATAAATATCTTTTTTAAAGTCATGACGATCATACATATATGTCTATTTATTATATACAGTATTCGATGTATTTGTGCATGAATGTTCGAATGTAAACATATATGTATATCAATTTTTTTAAAAAAAAAAACAAAGAAAGCTTTTTTCCTTCATGTAACAAAGTATTTTCAATATTTAGTTTTATAACTTGAAATTTTTACAAATTACGATTGAACATCATTATAAAGTTGACATATTCAATGCCGTGATGGATTCTTAATTGCAAGAACTAAACAATAGATTCAATGATCAAACAATAAAACTACTCATTTTTTGTTTGACTTTGATCCTGAGAGATGTGCATATCATTTAGGACCAATGACATTTGTAAGTTGATGCGTAAATTTTACCCTCAAGACTTTGTCGATTATAAAATACCGTAATTAAAGACGTAATTTGAGCATTTTGATCATACACAAAATCTTCCCGATTTCAAAGCATTATCAATTATATTTGATTTGCGTCAATGACTCGATAAAGATAAAAAAATTTAAAAGTTATCCACTTGTGTATAGAGTGATAACACTTATTATTATTCTTTCAATTTCTACGACTACCACAGAATGGTCATTTTCAGCTATGAGCATAGTTAAAATTAAGCATCATAACAAGATGGAAGATAAATTTTTTTTGATTGTTTATTAGTGTATATTTAAAAAGAAATTGCTGAAAATTTTAGAATAGATTTGCTTACATATGATTTTTGTGATTTGAAAAAAATGAAGTTCTCTATTTTGAGTGATTGTATTTGAGACTATTTTAAAATATATGTTAGTATGTTATTTATAATATATATAAATTTATGTAAATCATGATAAATTTATAAATATTTATTTTGGCCCTCGTGGATATTTAGTCCTGCGTTCGCCACCGATCGGTGTATGACTTGTTTGTGTTATAGGTAGGATATTGAGTTAAAAAAAGGTTTTGTGGTAAATGGATGGGAAGCTCTTTGGAAAGTTTCTAAGCTTTTTGGTCATGCATTCATAAATTCTTCCTACCACTTTGCTTGTTCAAAAGCTTGTGTCAAAGTTGTAGGCTTCAAAATCTTCAACATAGGCTTGATATCTTTCTTGAGTTCGCTAATAAAGCTAGAAACAAAGTAAAATCAAGCAAAAGTGGATTATTTGTAGTCATCAAGGATTTGATTTTATCAAATTTCTCCATATACTATTCTACTTCCCTTTCTTGATTAAACTTATTAAACTCCTCTATTACATCTTCTCTATTACTAAACACTATATACGGCTCCCTAATGAACTCTTTCTAATTTCTTAGATCACTTACAACTATAAATCTTTTAAACCAAATCTCAACTCTACCATCTAAAGACATGGAAGCAATTTCCACCCACTAATGCACTAAAATGAAATTCATTTTGAAAAATTTCTTACATCTCGTGAACCTAGCCTCTTCGATTTTCTCTCCCAAACATTTGCAAGTCTACTTTAGGAATGGAGGAATTCTAACCTAATTTCACAAATTCAAGCGTTAATAATGATTCTCTTTGATTATTGTGATGAATAGGTTTTGGAGTTACTTTTTCCGCACATGAGAAATTTAAAGATGACCTCTACTCTTTTTTTAGATCTTTATCAACCATTACTAACTTAATAGACTTCATTAGAGCTTCAAATTGAAGCTATATCTCGCTAGGTTTACTCCTCCATCTAACCTCCATCCGCATCTTGATTGCTTCCACATTTTTATGAAATTCTTACCATAGGCTTTGAAGTCGTTCTTCATGCTTCTTATTTTGCTCCTTAATTGCTCACATCTTATTATTATCTACCATGATTGATGATTTATAGGCCCTAAAAGAGCTTTGATACTAATTAGTTAAAATTTTTTGCTTAACAAAAAAGAATTAAAAGAAAGGTTAAAGGAGAAAAATAAGGAAAAAAAAAAAAGGAAGATTGAGAAGAGAATTTGTATTTTAATTCTATTTCAGTTATAAATGCTTGAATGAATCTAATTTTCATCTTCTCTATTATATGTGATTCTAACTACCGACTTTAATAGTATCGACCGCTAAGCAAGAAATAGTTACACTAACTAAAATAATTGTCATGTCATTAGTTATACTAACTACTTACCAACCCTAATCACAATCCATCCATCTATATAAAACGTAACAAAGAGCTCAAGCTAGTAAGCAAAAAGCGCGACAGAAAGCGAGTTCAACTCACAAATGATTAGCAAGTGAAAAAGAAGGAAGAAGACAGAGAGGTTGGTGGGAAAGGTGGGTGGTGACTCAAGACTATGTGATGAGGCAAAGTCTCCGTGCGTGACTAGTAGCTAAAAATGAGATGAAAAAAATTAATTATGAGTTAGGATTAGGGACTTGACTTAGTTTGTTTTTTTTTCTTTCTTTTAAAAATCCAGCTTTTGGTTTAAACCAAAATAAAATTTTCACAAACTGAATTGAAATGAGATAATTTCAATTTTCCAATTTTGGTTTTTTTTTTCTTATTTTAAGTTCAAAACTAAATCAAACTTGATATTTCGGTTCGATTTGGTTTGGTTTGTTAATTAAAACTAAATTATGCTCATCCTTATTAGAGAGAACAAGTTTCTTACTTGCGTTATATTACGAGTTAGGTAAAACATGTGAAATAATTTGTACTATAAGTCTACGAGAATATATTAATTAAAGGTAAAAAAAATATCCAATTTATAATTTTTTAATCAAAATTTTAAATTTGATAATTCTTTCTCATGCTTTTCATAATTTTTGTATCAACACAAAAGGATTTTAAAAGACTATATCGTTAAAACAAAGTAACAATTGATGTAAGAACTTGTGAAAAATTAAAAAAATTAAAAAGTTATTTTTTATTCTTTTTTAATTTTGATGAGAAGATTAGTTTTCGAAATTTCGTATATTTGATTTTGATATATTTAATCATAAAATTATCAACTATATTAGATTAAAAAAAAACTATATTTGAATAATTGACTAGTTCTATAAAATATAATTTAATTATTTAATTTGAAAAAAATGAATCCATAATATAAATGAATAAATATTTTAATCTATATATTTTTAATTGAATGGAAATTTTATGAAAATAACAATGTTTGATTATAATTTTTTTAAAATACTAACTAAACTTTATATCATCGGGAATAAAATAATCGAATGTTTTTAACACTCGTATGGCACAAATATTTTTATATTACTCTCTACATCCTCAATTAACGAGTTAGAGGTTCCGTTAATAAGATTACAAAAAGACCAAAACATTTTTATATAAAACACAATGTTAAATACTTATCCTTTTTGGATCATCATATTTCCTTTCTTCTATCTCTTTCCTCAACCCTTTGTGATCAATTCTCTAAAGTCATTGGTAATATCAAAAAACATCATCAAAACTACCAAAATATAGAGAAATCGACACCAAAAAACTATCGGAGCCATAACAACAAATCATTGCACTCTTCTCCATCTTTTGTCCCTAGAAAATCCTTTATGTCTACGTGATTTACTCCATCGTTGTTGTTAGCACCCATTTTTAACTCTCATTTTTCATGATTTTTCCAAAAAAATTAAAAAAAAAACTAAAAAAAAATTCATTTTAAATATTTTTGTTCAATCAATTTGATTTTATCAAAATTTAAATTTTTATTAATTTTTATAGTTTTTGTGAGTTATTTCTGAGCATAAAGAAAAAAAAGAAAAAAAAAAGAAAAAAAAGGAGAAAAGAAAGAAAAATGAATAGATTTGAAAAAAGAGGCATATCGGTGTCAATCCTAAACCCAAAGTATAAAAACCTATTTTTTTCCCCGTTCTTTTTTTCTTCCTCTCCAGCTGGCCCTAAGGAAAGAAAAAAAAAAAAACCCCTAGATTCATCCTCGCTCCTCTTCCGTGAAACCGTGGTAGTTTCTTCGCCCGTGGCTGATGGAGGAACCCACCAATTCCTGTCTCTTCTTGTGGTTTTTTTCAGTTTTTCTTTTCTTTTCTTTTCTTTTTTTCCCCTACCGTTCTTCACGTCTTCAACAACCAAGTTCAAGTAAGTTCTACCCTTTGACTGGCACATGGGATGCTATCAACACTATTTATGGACAACATGTGTGAACCAATAACTACCGTTTCCTAGGTGGCATCAAATCTCTTCATCATTCAAGAACAGTAACATTTCATCTTTCAGCTCAATTTCCACTATTCCTCCAATCCCATTTATCTCCACTATCTTCCCATAAATACTCCATACCGTTGCTCCTTTGGTACACATTCCACTTTATACTTAACAGTTTAAATCAGAAGCATCTTGATCTCTCAAATCAGAATCCGATTAGTACAAGAAACTTGCATGCCTTGCCAAAGTTAAAAGATGAAGATCACCATTAAGGAATCATCTATTGTACGCCCAAACCAAGATACACCAAACCACCGGCTTGGGGTCACTAACCTGGACCTGTTTCAAATAAAATATCATGTCCCTTTGCTTTATCTATACAAGCCAAATGGATCTTCCAATTTCTTTGAAGCTAAAGTGCTTAAGGAGGCTTTGAGCAAAGTTCTTGTGTCATTTTATCCTGTAGCTGGGAGATTGGCAAGGGATGCCAATGGTAGGATTGAAATAAACTGCAATGGAGAAGGAGGGCTATTCGTTGAGGCTGAATCAGATACCGCTATGGGTGACGTTGGTGATTTCAAGCCTAGCGAGGAACTTCGCCAGCTTATTCCTACCGTTGACTACAGTGAAATCTCTTCTTATCCGCTCCTTGTTTTACAGGTATGAGCATTTGGATCTACCAAAAAGTAATTAATGCTAATTAAGAATACTAAAAGAATTTTGTATTATATATGGTGTGTTGCTAATCCTCCTAAATATACGAGGGAGTGTTTTTTATGTTAGTGATTATTCCTTCTAGTTATATCAAATATAGTTTATATGATTAAATTTTTTAAAAATAGTTTTAATTCAAGAGATTTGATTTGAATGAAAAGAATGAGCTTTAAGTGGTTTTCCATTCAAGTTTTTTATACGCATAAAATTTTTAAATAATTATGATCATTTTGTGCGGTCGATCCAATAGTGATTAATCTGAGTTTTTGTATAAAGATATCTTGATGATTCAAAAATTTTAATAAATTTGATATTGTATATGATTCGTTTGCTTTTCCACGGAGATGCCTTTCATCTATCCATAGGTTATTACTTCACTTAACAAAAAATTTAGTAAAAGAATTCTTCTTTATTATTTTGCTTTCTAGATATATCAGAAAGCTTTGTTAATTGACAGTTAATGCCAAGGGCCGGTGAAAAGAAAGCATATCATTCTGACAGGTTTGCATTTTTCAACGTATAGTTTCTTTTGAGGGAAAAGGACTAGGAAAAGCATGTGAACGTTCACACCAGCCATTTGATTGTTTTTAAGTTTATGATGGTGGATGTTTATCGCTTCTTTTTTTCTTTTTTCTTTTTTTTTTTTTAAATTTGCAAGAAACCTTATTTTTAGGTTATGTTAACTCTTTTGTTTTTTTTTTCCCTCGTAAGAAGTTTTTTTTTTTTTCGATTAACAAGGTAAATCACAAGCTATCATTTGGTTTTGACACAATTGTTGTGAAAAAGAAAAATAGTTATTGTCAAGTAATGAACAATTTTTATTTTCCTTTTTATGAATTATATTCGATATTGTTTGTATGATTACTAATTTATAAGGAGTAATAATTAAAATTTTGTGGTGCAATAACATATTTTCATTTGGAATTTTCTTTGTCAATGTTATAACTAGCAACGGAATTAGATTCCTATATTAAAAAAAAAGACCAAAGAGGATAAAACTAAAGATGGGTTATTAGAAATATATATATATAAGAGATTCACTAATAAAATTCACTTATTTAATGTATAAAATATCCATCCAATAGTTGTTATTTTTTTAATAAACAAATTTTGTAAGACTGTTAAATTGAAAATGAATACACATAATGTTAGTAAATGATAAAACGATAATAATATTAATTTAAGCTAATTATAGATATAATTAATAAATAGATTTGAAACCTTGTTAGTCTAGTTCTTCTCACTAAAGTTGGAGATATATAACTAGCAATTAAGTAGCTCACTTTGTGGATTGGACTCATCCTTAATAGGTAACCAGATTCACATGCGGTGGAGTGTGCCTTGGAGTTGGATGGAATCATCCTCTAGCAGATGGTACAGGATGTCTTCATTTCATTAACGCATGGTCAGATATGGTGCGAGGCCTCTCTGTTAAAATCCCACCATTCCTTGATCGAACTGTTCTTCGTGGCAGAATCCCACCCACCCCTACCTTCCATCATGTTGAATACGATCCATTCCCTACCATTAACACCCATTCCCCAAACCCCATTTCCGAGTCAGGTTCTAAAGACATTTCTATAGCAAACCTTAAGATCACAAGTGATTTGCTTAACACTTTGAGAGCTATGACAAACAACAATGATGCAAGCAAGACCAAGCACAGCACTTTTGTGATCCTCACAGCACATATATGGCGTTGTGCATGCAAAGCGCGAGGTTTGACTAATGATCAAGCAACCAAGTTAAACATACTAACAGATGGAAGGTCTAGATTTTGTCCACCACTTCCAACTGGTTATTTTGGCAATGCAATCTTTCAAGCTACGCCCGTTGCTTCCTCTGGTGGCCTCTTATCAGAACCATTAGTGCACACTGTTGAGAGAATTCACAAAGCAATAAAACGAATGGATGATGAGTATTTGAGATCAGCTGTTGACTACTTGGAAAAACTAGATGACTTAGCTACTGCCATGAGAACCCCTGGGACTTACAGGAGCCCAAACCTCAGCATGGTTTGTTGGATGCATTTGCCCTTTTATGACGCTAATTTTGGATGGGGCAAGCCTATATGTATGCGGCCTGCATTTGTATTTGAAGGCAAAGGATACATACTACCAAGTTCAACAAATGATGGAAGTTTGTCATTGACCATATGCTTAGAGACGGATCACATGCAATCCTTCCAAAAATTATTTTACGAGTACCACAAAAGGAGCGTCTTGTAAAGTTGGTGAGGAAGCTCAAGCAGGCCAGCATGAGAGGATGTTCAAGTCAAGCTGATAGAACTTTTCTTCAACTAGTAGCGTGTTTTAAAGCAATGTAAACTTAATTGTGCTAGACTTTTGTTATTTTGAGGGGCCATTTAATGCTTATGTTTCATGTCATCTCTGCCTGCATCTTTTGTTTTTCCTTTCATCATTTTTTTTTCTTGGTCTCCCACCTCATTCTTATCGTGGGTGGCTCTTTAATAAGCTAGTAAAATATAATAAAAAGACATAATAAATCAAAATAAAGGGAGTAGATCTTAATAAACCAAATAGATACAATGGAGTGACAATGAATTTCATGCCTTAAGTAAAAAAAACTAATGAACAATTTGCAATTTCAACCCACTAAATATAAATAGGAGGTAATAATATAATATATAGGTAAATATGAGTTAAAAATCAGGAGTGAAGAACAAACTTGAGCTCCGAACAAGGCAATGCAGATTAAACCCATCTAAGAATGCAAACTAAAGAAATTTGCCACAATCCCATCGTTATCATGAAACTTTATCCAAATCCAAAAAATCCCACAAGCCAAAACCGGTCCTTGAAGACATAAATGCACTGATTTCTTGAAACCCTTTGAACCAGGCAACCAACCATATATGTACCAAAATTACTGAAAAAAAAAAGACTAGCAAAAGCAAGAATCAAACTCCATTTTGTAAAACAATTCCATAATATTAAAATAAACCAATCTAATTAAGTGTCTGTCCATTAATTAGTATATTTCTTAGGTTAATTAGTGCCAAAATTACCTTCTCCACTGATGAGAATGAAACCAATCACCATCAGCAAAGGATGGAGAACATATAAGAAAAACACATTAAAAGAAAAGAAAGCAAACCATTAATATAATTGAAGTTAGAGAAATGCAGATTTTTTTTTCCTGGTTTTAAAGAAATTGAGGCAAGATGAAGAGAGTAAAGTGCATACTGCATAAACGAGGTCTTCTTGAGAGGTAGAAAGCTCAACTTGAAAACAAGAGCCCAAGAAACGACTAAACCTGCAACTAAAAGACATGAAATTCTTGCAAATAAGAGAAGTGGGATTAGCAAACAAGATACTGGGGTTGCCATTTTGGAACTTCAAATAACAGAATTCTCTACCGAAACAAATGAGAACTAGATCTATAGTATTAATGGCATGCCTTTTGTATTTCTTTATTAGTAAAGGCCGAAGGAAGGTGTTCCTTAGATTCTATCACTACTACCACTGCTAACTTTTGGACATGATAGTAAAAAAAAAAGTTAAAGGATTGTGGTTTTTATTGTGCAGTCACTACTTTTTTTCACTGCTATTTATTTTCACTCGTTTTAAAAATAAATTTTAAAGATATAAACAAGTTTATTTACATATTTCTCTAATTTTAAGGTATTTTAAAACAAAAATAGAGTTAAATTTGATTTTGAGAGGCTAGGAATTAAGAAACTCAACTTTCTAATGACTTTTTTGGCAGTTTGGAGTTTGCCAAAAATTACAGAGGCTGCTGAAAATAAAATTAAAAAACCATTTTCTTTTAATGTATTCTTGCCTATGGGGGTCTCCACTTTTGTTTTTGTTTTTTCCCCTTTTAATTAAGAAGTTTTAAGCAAAAATTATCAAACATCGAGTGTTATTATTTATGTTTTTCAAGCAATGTGGCGAGAGTTATATATATAATATAATATAATATAATATCTTTTTATATTTTAAAATTATAATATATTTTAGATTATATTACTTTTATTATTTAAAATTTATTCTTTGAATTTGTCATTTCTTTTGAAAATTCTCATCCAATTAATTTTTTTTGATAAAAAAAATATTTTTAATTTTTTTGAATTCTTCATTAATATTTCAGTTTAAATTATTATTTAAAATCAATGCATAAAAAAGAATGAACCATGTTCTTTTTAATAGAAAAGTTATGAATAAATTAAAATTTTAATTAAATATAAAATTTTTATTAAAAAATTAAAATTTTAAAATGATTTTGTTCCGTACGATCTAGGGTGTAGCACATACAACCGGCTAGTATGTTACTATTCGGTGTCAAATGTTATCCTTTGTGCTTTCTTACAAAGAATACTTTATTGGTAGAAAAATATTTTTTTTGGCTCATAAAATCTATCTTTCTAACGAAAACAAAAGTTGAAATCATGTTGAAATAATCAAGCGACTTAATTAATCTCCTTACAACTAAGGAGGATGGTTTAATCACAAAATTTGCCTCCATTCTAATTCGATAATTTTGAACTCATAATATCAAATCGTGTAATTTGAAGCTAAAAATATTAGAGATTTGATAAATATGATTCAAATTGTCTAATCTCTATTATATATAATGGTCAATCCAGTTGATCGTTACTTGAAATGTCAAAATAACATTTTTTTGACATTCTACTATTAATTATGTCTTTTAAAATATATATATATATATATATATATATATATATATATATATATATATATATATATATATAACCTCCTAATCTTGAATGTTTTTAAACTTTTTCTTATTATAAAATATTATAAACATTTTATAAATTATATAAAAAATTTATAAATCTTTTTAACCCCTAATTTTGAACTTTATAATATTTTATAAAATATATTTTGTTTATAATTTACAAAATTAGGGAGTTTAACCCTTAATTATGTTCATTTTAATTTATAAAATATTTTTTTAAGGCTTGAAATTTTGTTATGTCAATTACGTTTTTTTAAAAAAATATTTATAAAAAAAGTTCAAAATTAGGAAGTTAAAAATATTTATAAAATATTTTTTATCTAATTTATAAAATATTTATAAGAAAAAAAGATTTTTTTAAAAAAAAAGTTCAAGAGGTTTAAAAATATTTTAAAAATATAATTAGCCATGGAATACCAAAACGATGTCATTTTGACATTCCGAATTCATTGTTACACATAACGAAAAATTGAACAATTTAGTTTACATTTATTCAATTTTCAATATTTTATCATTTTAGCATTTTAGGTAACAATCAATCTAGTTGACAATTACATATAACAAAAATTAAACAATTTGTATTACATTTGCTCAATTTTCAATATGTTAGAGTTCAAATTATGTAATTTGGTATTATAAGTTAGAAATCATCAAATCACAATAAATAAAGGCAAATTTTACCATTAAACCTAATGAGGACAAACTATTAATTTATTATTTTTAACAAAATTAGCCTCTATCAATTGAACAAATATAAATTTTCCAACAAGACATCCCTGTTTGCCAAGGACTGTTGTTCATTGATTTAATCAAATATGATTCTCAACACCCAAAATACAACCCTAGTTTTAGTCAGCTAAGCTGCACTGACCAGCTAAGGAAATTAATGACGGTTCAGTTATCATAACAGGGCATAACACAAAAAAATCCAACGCATAAAGGCATTACATACATATACATCGAAACGACAATGAAACAACAAATCTTTATTATTCTGTTCTCGGCAGTTATGAAAGATCTCTTTCTTAAGGTTTATTTTGCTCATGAACTTAAATGGGCTCAAAATATAATCAAACTCAGCAGTACAGATTTTGGCACTTCATCCAACATCAAATCCATCCTCAAGCTCACCTCAACAATAAACATGCTTATATATCTTTATGTAATATTTAAAATCTTTTATTTATATCTAAATTTTTAATATTTTTAGTTAAATTCCATATATTTCTCAAAATTTTTAAAATATTCAATATATCATTTCAAGTCAAATTTTACCACCATAAAAAAAAAAAATCAAAACAAACCAGTTTATTGATCTCATTTCAATCACAAGCATGTGTAATTATCAGGAAATCTCCAATTCTGCCAAACCAACCAGTTCGTACCCGCACACCGCCTAATGGATGTTGATAAATTTGTTGTCCTCGACGCTGAGTTTAAGACAAACAAGAAAACAAGCCTGATTATGAGATCACAGAAATGGACATTTTTCTGCATTTTCAGGAATTGGGTCTTCAGAAAATAGAGCTCTAATCACAAAAACAACTTCCCAAACTAGATCAGACCTTTTGGTGAGGTTAATTACACGAGAACCAGCGAAGAGCTTACTGGAGTAGGAATAACAACACTTAATTGAATCAGAATCATATCAAGAACACAACAAATTATTTTACTATAATACTCTCAGTGTAGCTACAATCACCAAGCAACCAAAAAGGCGAACATGAAAACGATATAAGTTGTGCCAAGTGCCAGCCAACACAGTACATGTGGCTCGAACCACAACCATGGAAGACGGACTGTCAATAGCGTTGGACATGTTTCAGTCACATCAAACACACAAGCAGCAAATTAACTACATGTACAACATTAATTAACTTAGTCACCTGTTCAAATGCGGAAAATATCCGTTTGAAACCGGTCATCATACAACCTCCAATGTCCATACCTATCGGTGTGGAAAACCGACCTCGGAATATAAAAGTTCGGCTTCTTAAAGTCCTTCAAATTCTTCAACCCCGAAGTTGAATCAACAATATCCCGACTCGTAAAATTCACACACCCAGACAAATCCAAATATTCAAGATTCAAACACCCTTCACAAATGGACAACAATCCCTTCGCGGACATTTTCGAAAATTTCAACTCAAGATGCACCAAATTTGGCATGTATTTCCCAATCGCACGCGCTTCCATGTCTCCATCTTGAGGACAAGTATCTAAATAATCGTTGGGTACAATCCCAGCATGCTGGGATGCATCTAACCAATTCATTAGGTTCCGCTTTAAAACCCTAAGACTCGGGCAGTTTCTGCCGATCATAACCATTGATTCATGTGATATTTCATGGCAATAACTTATGTCAAGCTCTTTAAGCTTCGTGCACTTAAAAGCAATTTGAGCCATTGATGCATCAGTCACATTTGGGCAGCACTTTGTTGAAAGCACTTGAAGATTTGGGCACCTACGGGGAAAAAAATAAATTCATTAAACCAATATTTTATATCTTGAAGAGAATTTTGTGTTGTGTTTGTGTACCTTTCGGCGGCGAAGGTGAGGGAGCGATCGGAGCAGTGACGGGTGCGGATTTCAGTGAGGGAGCCGTCGCTATAAGTGATGACTGAACGGAGCATCGAATCGATTTTTCTCTCGAATACTGGGATCCACCAGCGAGGCGATTCAGTGACCGAGTCGAATTCACTATCGAGATCGAATACTGTGTTGAGAGATGGATCCTTGCAGGCGAGCAGCCAGGATTTGCAAACGAGCATGGGACCGCGCCATCGGTGCTCAAAGTTGAGGCGAGACAGGATGTTGATTAAGCACTCGTAAGTTAGCTCGGCCCAGTCCGAGCTGAGTTCTGACTCGGTCTTCGTCTCTCCTTCGTTAGGGTCTTCGCTACCGTTCATTTTTTGAGGGAGCTAATTTGCCTTTTTACGGTTGCGGGGTCTTATAAAGGGACAGGTGGATGAAATGGTCATCTTAAGCTTGGGAGAGGATAGACCTTCTTAGTTAGCCACATGGCATAGTACGTAGCTGCCAGGTGCCAAATGCTGGTGGAGAGACGCGTCGTCCCTCTCAAACGACATTCATCCATACCAAGAATACATGTGATCGCTAAATTCCAAATCGCGCATTGATCTCTTATTCTCTTTGTACATAGAGACGTAGAGGTCTAATCATTCCAAAACCCAGACCATACTGAAGAGCCTTGCGCAGCTCGAATACATGACATGCTTAATGAACCATCCGGGTACCGACCAGGCTTGCGGTGGGATGCAGGTCCCCTGTTGATTGAACAGGAAAGGCGTACCAAATACCAGCTGAGCTCAAAAAACAAATTGTAGCATGTTGATGTTACATGACCAAGTGGTCCAATGTCATGGCACTAGTGACGAAGCGGTCCTCTACCGTGACATTATTGATGAGTTCGTGATTCACGATTAATATAAACGGTTGGATCTGCTTCTTTCGTAGTTGATGGTGTGGTGAAGATTTGTTCTTGTCTTGAAGTCCTGTGGCGAGTTCTTATAAAGCAAAGTTTTCTTTTCGAGTTTTGGAGAACCTTCTGGTAAATAAGTTGACATATGAATAAAGATATTTGATTTGATTAAACTTAATAGCATATCATTTAATGCGTATGGCATGATTAAGTTTACCAATATGTCTTTTGCTGTGTAGAAAAGATATACGATACTAGTTTTTGTATATTATAAAGTGTAAAACAAAACCTAATTTTTTAACATATGCGAGGTTAAGATTTTTACAGTGGATGGAAGATGATCAATTTGCAAAGAATAGAGGGCGTATTCATCTTTTCTTCGAGGGCAAATGATGCTTTTTTTATTATTATTATGCAACAACTTCTAACAAGTGTATCTAAATATTAAAAGTTCTCTTAAGTGAATATTTCTTATTGGTATAAGTAACATCTTTTTTAGAATTAGGTATGTAGGACAACATCTTTCATTTAATGCTTACTTTTTATGCTTCTCCTCGATAAGGGTGTAAGCTAGGGTTGGAGGTGTATGGTGAGGTCGGCATACTAGTATTCCTAGTGTTTATTAGTTCTTTTGGTTAGAGGCCTTTGTATAGACGTTTTTGTAGTAGGTGAGTCTCTTTATTGTAGCCTAGTAAGGGACACGTGTCAAACTGTATTTTTTCAAACATGTCGGTGGCCCACCTGATTCTTGATCAAACATGTCTAATTAAAGATTTAAACTTTATATGAATAATTTTTAATGAGATTCTTTTCATCTCGTTAATTGTCTTTTTAAATGCTCTTTGGAAAAATTATCGTCGTTTAACATCTACCTTCCAAGACAATCTTTGGCAAATTTTTTGTTTTCTCGATGATCGTTCTTTCATGTAATTTTTGAAAAAATGTTATCATTCGGTGATTATATCCCTCGGGTGATCCTTGGCAAACTTATAAATGTCACGTCGCCTACTTAATCATCTCTTTTAGAATGGATAATGCTTAGTGCATGATAGTCTCATTAAATGCTTGCAACTAGTGATTATTGTTTTCTCATATGGAAAACCTAATCATCTCTACGTGTGAAGTTTTGTGACAAATTAAGTATTTTGTATCTTGTCAAACTCTTTTTCTCCCATTCGTCCCGTTATCTTAGTGGGACACTTGACGAATGTTGATTGGTAAATGTCAAAAAGTGATGTCTTTTAGGTTTTTAGACTTGAAAGATTTCTACTTTTTTGCATATATAAATAGCTATCGATTGTCTTTTTTCTTTTAGTTTCTTCACCTTGTGCTATCTACTCTTATGAAAATTTCTCGGTAGGTTGGTTAAAGCTTTCTTTAACAAGTTTACAATTTTCCTTTTTTCGATGAATACTTGGCAATTTTTTCTTTGTCATGTTCTTCTATTTGAACAAGGTTTTCTCTCTTAGACTTATCTCTGTCAAACTTTTATAAGCGGTATTTCTTCTCTTTCTATTTTTTTTTTAAATTGAGGATTTGAGGAGAATGAAGAAGGTAGCAGGCATTGGTCCATATGGTGAGAGGGCTAACCCTAATGTCAAAATAGTGATAGGTCGGTTCCTTCTCCTTATAGAGGGTTAATCCTTGTGCCCATAGACATTAAGAAGGACCTAGCACTATATCAAGCAACAAGATCGGTGCTTATGGTTGTGTTTTAAGCAAGGACTTTCATGTTGCTATTTTTTATCCCACGAATAGAATAAGAGCCATTACCGATAGAGGTTTCGAGTAAAGACTCGAAGTTTATTGTCCTTACATATATGATATAATACGGGGTTAAGTTTTCTCTTTTTGATTTTTTGGACTCATTCTTTTGTCATTTTAGTATAAGTTTATCCCAACTTTTTCTTGATGGATAGGGCACAATTGTGGTTTCAATACTTTTTATTTTCTTTTAGAGATGTTTCCATCTTTGAGACTACTTTTATTTTATTTCTAGTTGAAAAAGAGAGACAATAAAGAGAGGATACGGTCGTGTAATATCTTTTTTTATAAAGAGTCTAGCCACTTTGAATGGAGTATTCATTATTTGTCCCGATCTTTCTAGTGATTGGCGGGAAGAGTGTTTCATTATGCGTTATGAAGGCCAATCTCTAAAGAAGGAGATGGGGTTATGTGGGGGCATTCCCCATTTTAGAGACATTTTAGATCAACTTGTAATGATGTCATCTCTCTTTCAAGTGAAGAATTCTCTTTAAGTTAAATGGGATGTTTAGTGTTGACTTGTTTGGCTAAGAGCATGCGGGTTATTCTTATTGACTTTTTCTTTCTTTTTCTTTGTTAGCCACCATTGTTTGGTCTTTGATATGTATATTTTTTTCTTTGAAAAACAACCCATTAGTGCATCTTCTTCTAATAGGGCAAGATGTTTCGAGTCGATATATAGGCTTTAGTTAAGAGTTCAACTCGTCATTTTAGTTGTAAGACATCGACTAATGGAGCATCAAGATTGATAAAATCGAATGACATAGATTATGGAGTTTTTTAATTCTCAACCATGAAGAAGTCCGGAGACCGGGGAAGTCAAGGATTAAGGACCGGCTTTTACTTCTTCCCATAGATAATACCCCTAATGAGGTCGTGATCCCTTGATTAATATGAACGGTGTGAATGGTTGAATGTGTTTCTTCCTTAGCCGATCGTATGATGGAGATTTATTTGTCTTAAAGTCTTATAACGAGTACTTGTAAAACAAAGTTCTCATCTTGAATTTTAATTAACTCTCCGATAGTTAAATTAGCATACAAATAGAAGTGTTTATAGGTTTAATAGTCTATCTTTTAATGTATATGGCTTGATTAGACTTAACAATATTTTTTTGCTATATGTAGAGAAGATATACAATGCTAGTTTTTGTATATCATGAAGTGGGTAGAAAACAAAACCTAACCTCTTGATGTATGTAAGGTTAATTTTTTATTTATTTATTTATTTATTTATTTTTAATGGAGGAGTATGATCAACTTGCATGGAATGAAGGGCATATTCATTTTCTCTTTTTAGGGTAAATAGGTTTTTTTTTAATTGTGTAACGACTTCGACAAGTGTATATGCAAATTGAAGAACCTTCTAGGTAAATATCTCATATTGGCGTAAATAATATCATTTCTAGAATTTAGTGTATAAGGTGACGTCTTTCATTTAATGCATGTTTATACTTCTTTTCGGTAGGGGAGTAAACTGGGCCCAAAGGTTTATGGTGAGTTTGGTGCATTAATGTCCTCATTCATAAGAATTTTTTTAGTTTGAGCCCCGTGTAGATGTTCTTGTTATAGGTGGATCTCTTTATAACAACTTAGTTAGATATATGTGTCAAATTATATTTTCCGTGCATATCAATCATAAAAAGATGAAGTTGACATGGCTAGTTATGGAGGAGAAATGACATATAAATCATTTCCTCTTGTCCAACACAATATATATAATCATGATGAAAAATTAGACCAATATTACTCCGAGTGCTACAAAATGTTATAAAGTTAAGAACGAGTAGATTCTAAGTCTGTATAAAACGAGTAGAGTTTTATAATGAGTACTTGTAAAACAAATTTCTCATCTTCAGTTTTAATGAACCCTCTAATAGCTAAATTAGCATATAAATAGAAGTATTTGTAGGTTTAATAATATATCTTTGAATGTATATGGCTTGATTAGACTTAACAATATGTTTTTAGCTATATGTAGAGAAGATATATAATGTTAGTTATTGTATATTAAGTAGTGAGTAGAAAACAAAACCTAACCTCTTGACATGTGTAAGGTTAATTTTTTTTACAATGGAGGAGTATGGTAAACTTGCATGGAATGAAGGGCATATTCATCTCTTTTCTTTTTTAAGGTAAATATGTTTTTTTTATTGTGTAACACTTCTGACAAGTGTATATGTAAATTGAAGAACCTTCTAGGTAAATATCTCATATTATCGTAAATAGCATCATTTCTAGAATTTAGTATATGAAGTGACATATTTCATTTAATGCATGTTTATACTTCTTTTCGGTAGGGGAGTAAACCGAGCCCATAGGTCTATGATGAGTTTAGCGCACTAGAATCCCCAATCATAAAAATTCTTTTAGTTTAAGCCCTATGTAGATGTTCTTGTTATATGTGGATCTTTTTATAATAGCTTAGTAAGAGACATGTGTCAAATTGTATTTTTCCATGCACATCAATCATAAAAGATAAAGTTGGCATGACTAGTTATGGAGGAGAAGGGGCATATAAATCATTTCCTCTTGTCTGTAACAATATCTACAATCATGATGAAAAATTAGGCCAATATTACTTTGAGTGCACAAAATGTTACAAAGTTAAGAACGAGTAGATTTTAAGTTGTGTAAAACAAGCTCTATGGTAAGAGAAATTGCAAGTTTATGGGTTAATTGCATCAGACGTCCATTTACTTTTTTAATTTCTTAATTTGGTCCCTATATTTTTTTTAATTTCAACCCTTACTGTACTCTTTAATTTTTTTCTTAATTTAGTCTTTCTGACTGCTTTTCGACCAATTTTGAGATCAAAATTGACAGCTGGTATGAAAAATTTAACATAGCATGACACATCCGATTAATTTGCTATGTGGAAAAAAAGAAAAAATATAGTTAAATTTAACTGAAAATGAAAAGAAGAAAAAATCTAAGCGTAAAAACACAAAGCATTTTCTCTCTGCACCTTTGCCCAGCACATTAATAAATCTGACGGCCTTCAAAATGCACAACCCCTGGTGGCGACAGTTTGTTCATAAGCTTGCAGAGACAATTTGTCAAACACCTTGAAAGCATATAACACTGACTAGCAGAATAGGGAAAAGGCTGAGGCATAGAATAACTAAGAGCTGCATACCTCTACCACCATTTGTGGTCCTCAGCAGCAAGCTGGAAAAAGGTCAATCCCACTGTAATAAACCCAGTCACCATCAGAAGAATAATAAAGACAAAGAAACTAACTAAAGAAATCAAGTGAGATAAATTCATCTCTTACATGAAATAATTCCATTTTTATCATAAAAAATTCATGCCTTAGAGTCATTAATTTTTATTATTATTTTTTTTTCTGGAATGCCCTTGTATCTCGTATTCTTTGCAAAATAACCTGCAACAAATTGGATATTTATAGGTACGACAAGGAGTTTAACTCAGCCTTGCAATTCTTCCAAACAAAGTGTGTCATTTAATTCAATTCAATTCTTTGAGTTGGTTCCATTCAATTCTTTGGAATTAAATGGGCGTTAACAAAGTTTCATGGTGGAGAGGAGAAAGAGAGGCAGAGGGAGGAGAGGAAAGGAAATAACATTTCCTCAATAAATACCCTTTTGAACAAATAATCTAAATTGAAGATTTAAACAACTCGAGTTTTTCAAAATTGATTTCATGATGAAAGACCCAAAGAAATAAATAGATTAAAAACACTTTGCAAGACGGGAAAAAAAAAATACAGGAACACATTTTTTAAATCATGAAAGCCACGTCACCATTCTTTGCATTTTTTAATAAAAAAGTTAAAAATAAATACAGATTTCCATTAAAAAAGAAAGAGATACTCAAATAGATCCACAAAACAATTGGATAGAGAGACGAATAAAGAGATGGGTTTTTTTTTTCAACGAATTTTGTTGAAATTTTATTTTATTGTTATTTTTCACATGGTAAATTAATTTAATATATCATGCTATGTGGAGTTTTTAATATCAACTGTTAATTTATAAAATTGGCCAAAAAAAAAAAAAAACAGTCATAGAGAGCCTAGTTAAAAAAACATTAAAAAATACATAGAAGAGTTGAATAATAAAAAAAAAAATACAAAAGTCACGATAAAAAAATAAAAAAACAAGAAAAACGTCAGATGCTATTTAACCCGTTCAAATATTGCACCGTCAGAACGTAGGAAACAACTAATCTGCCCAACTAAAACCAACTTGTTGGAGACCAAGGGATGGCTATTTGCTAACAATTTACCATTTATCTCAGGCCGTGGGCTTTCCTTTATTCTGAACCATCTCACAAGATCGAATAAAGGTGCAGAGACAACGAAACGAAGCACCTAAAAGGTTTTCCGAATCAAAATTTCGCCAGTACTACCAAGAAATTTTTTTAAAGAGATCTCAAATCATGTGATCGTTTCACTACAAGATTGAGAAAAACAACCTACCTCACACGTAAATACCATCAGCAAAAGCTATTCACGATTATGTTACTGTTAATGAAGGTTCTGTCATTAACAGAAAACGCAACCGCTTTCTTATTTCTTAGGCAAGAATTCAAGGTGATCTCATAGATCATTCAATAAATTTTCCATCAATATAACTTCCCAGGGCTCAACTCATTCTTTGCAATGATTTATGCCTCTAAAGCCGAACTAAAATCCATAACATGAGCTACAGATTAATGAAAATCTCAAACATGTGAATGAAAGGAACCGGGGAAGAAGAAATTTATGGCTAGAATTATGAATCTGAAAGTAGAATTACTCGTATAGATCCAACAAATAGGTAGATAGCAAAACACAAGCAAATCCTGTTACAGCCTAGGACCACTCTATTTGTCTGAAGATTGCTCAAACGCTTCCCTAACAATCAAAAAGTCTAAGAAGAGATAGATGGCTACAGAAAAAATAAAGATCCTAAGAGGTGAGAAACCAGCAAAAGTATAATTATCAACACACAATAAAATAACAATCTGTGATGAAACCAATCGAAAACCCACAACACCAGATCACAAAAAAAAAAAAAAAAAAAAAAAAAAACAACAACAACAAACAGCAACACGATGAATCAAATCTTTCGAAAATTAGGCAGTAATTCCATTGAAATAAACGTAGGTTTGAACGCACACGGAAATTCCATACAGGAATTGGAGTTCAATATAGGCAAAGGGACTAGTTACAGTTCACTCGTATACAGGGGCATAAAGAGGACGCCTGTACTCATCAAAATACTCATCGCGATCGATGAAAATAATTGCATAGAGAGCATAAATTATTCCAGGAACGTAGCCTAAAATAGTCAGTAACAAGCAAATCCAAAATTCCACCTGCAAAAAAGTAAAAATAAAAACCAGTTATCAAGCATATCCAATCGTTTGGATCTCAAAAAAAGAAAGAAAAAATAGAGAGAAAGAGATGGAGAGGCGTACGCTGCAGCAGCCATGCCTGAAACAAACACCGACAGGAGGGAGCAAGATGGCGATGACGATCTCGCAGCAGATCTCGCAATTACTTGGCATTTTCTCTCGGTAATGTTTGCAAAGGCCGAAGACAGATATGCGAGATTTTTTAATCCAACAGTTTTTTATATATTATTTATTTTGGTTGACTGATGGGTTCTTAATGGAGAAGAAAACAAAGATCCGACTTTGTACAGTTGAGCGAGGTAATTTGGGATTTCAGGACACCACGTAACCATCACATACCAAGGACAAATAGGGTTTTTTATTTTTTATTTTTTATTTTAAATATGGTAGGTTTCAGATCGGTTTACGTGTAAGTGTGTAACTTCAACATCTGTTAGGTTCAGTATTCCTTTCTTTTTTTTTTTTTTTTTTTTTTTTACTTTTTTAAAATTCCATAAAAAAAAAATTAACGGGCATTTTTTATGATATTATGACCTATTTGACCTTTACTGCTAAATTGTTTAATTTAATCAAACTCTGTGATTTACATCAAGAATTTTTTTTTTTTTTTTAGTTTGAACCTTTGCCATAACACATGGCTAATTCCAACAAAATATATATATATAGTAAAAAAAATTAAATACTTAAATTCAACAAATTACTTCAATTAAATTAATGGTATCGCCATCAGACCCGGTCCTAAGGACCCAGTGCTTAGCGTGCTTTGCCGGGCAAAGACAGGTATTCTGTCAGTAACAGCGCGAGGTGTATGTTTAATGCAAAAGTCCAACAATTTTTTGGACCTAAATTTTGAAAGGGCAGAAATTTTAATTTGCGGCTGAAATTTGTAGTTAGAATTTTGTAAAGAGTTTAGGTTTGTATGTAGAAATGTTTTTTGAGTAAATATTTTTTAAAAAAGTTATTTTTTATAATGTGTTTAAAATTTAATTCGTTAACTAACTTAATCATTGTTTTTTACCTTACCATTTTAATTTTAAAAATATTTTTTTGAATTAATATTTATTTTATATAATATAGAATTAATTTTAATTACCAATAATTTTGAAAAAATAAAAAATAATTATATAACATAATTGCTTAATTTGTGTAATAATTCAAAGAGGTCAATATTTTGATACAAAAAGAATAATATTGTTTATGTAATTCAATAATAATACGACAATTACTCCAACCATGATTATGATCAAATTATATTACTTTATATGAGTTACTTGTTTAGCATCCAAATTTAAATAATGATTTGCCGCCAATAAGAAGCCATTCGATTGCAGTAAAATATTCACAATCATGTTACATAATGCGCACTGTTATACGAAACTCAAACACTTTTTTTTCATTTGTTATTTATTAAAATTAATTTATTAATTTCATTTTTTTATTTCGTTGAATAAAAGGGGAAAAATAGCACAAACCAGCAATTTTGAGAGACATGTACAATTTGGGCTCTCGTATCTAGTATTGGCACTTCAATCCCTTAAACTTTTGGCTTTGCATTAATTTTGTTATTGTAGAATTTTAATTAAACCTCGTAAGTTTTTTTTTTCAATTAAATCTTTTGTCCAATTTTTATTAAAATATAAACAGAAATTGAGTTAGTTTGTATTCATATGTTGTACCATATGGTAAGAACAGTTTAGTTCCGTAAACCTTTTTTCTTTTTTTTAAATAGCGAAAATTGAGGTGGTAGCATGAAAACACAAGACTGTCTCAATGTTAATCACTTTGAATTTCTAAACATTTTTAAAGTCAAAATTATGAATATGAAAATTCTCTCCACATTATTCATCTCCCTCGTTGCATAAGTTTGTGACGATGGAACATATCAATTTTTTTTTCTTTTTTTTTTTAAGATGTATTTCATTAACCCGAGTCCATTAATATTATAAACAACTAAGTATTAGTATATAATTTTTTTTAATAATAACAAGATTGAGCATTCAATCCGTCATATTTAAAAATAACATTTTTCTTTTTCCTTTTACAAAAAAAAAAAAAAGGTTTAACAATTTAGAAAGTGCAAAAGCAAGTAAGGGGCATAGTGAAGCAGGGCGATTTTCCAAACCCAATCCAAAATTGAAAAGTATATCTCAAGTCTGCTAAAATAATTCTACGGGCCAGATAAGCAAGAGGCCCATGAACAGTCTACGATCCTTGGAAGTGTCGCATTACGTAGGATTTAACAAAGCTGAGACAGAATTTTCTTGTTTCTTTTTTTGGATGTAAAAAGCTTAGACAGGATCTAACACCAGCAAAGCGTCCACGGAACAATTAACTGTACTCACAGTCACAGACACCATTGAAGCTTCTCAGCCATCTTTCCTACTCACTAATATTACTGTACAGTTGAGCAGTTCTGTCCGTCTGTTACTAACGACTTATAATGGTGTCTTTGCCGTTAACTTTTTGAATCTGTGAAGGGGCTCGTTTCTTTATGCGTACTAACTTCTTCGTCTGTTTTTGACAGTTTCTGTGGTCGTGTGAGCAGTCAAAAGGTTAAAGATCGCACGTTAATTATCTTCTACGTATTCACCATCCCTGAACTCATTAGTCAATTCCAAATTACTCATTATGGCCGACACGTTTCTTGCTTTGTTCTAGAGTTTACACTCTACGACCCTATTTTTCAGTTTTCAATTAATTTCAAATAAGAACATGTGTTCCTTTTAAAAAGAAATTGAAGTAAAACCTCAATCAAATCCCTATAATATTATCGCATTATCAATTGAGTTCTAAATCTTTTGAATTTATTAATTTTGCTCCAAATGTAACAACGATATGGTCAAAATCCATAAAGTTGGAGCAACATTGATGAGATCAAAAGTTTGGGACCTAATTGATAATAAGGAAAAACGTTAGGGATTAAACTAATGTTCTGAAAAATTGTAATGCTGAATGCATGAATCTATTCAGTTGATCAAAGAACAACGTTTATTTATCAAAATTTAGCTAGATAACTAATTTCTTGATTATCAACTCATGCGTTCTTAATTTTGTTTTTATAAATTCCAAATTTTTAAAGATACTCATTAGAATGAATAGTTAATTTATGCCTTAATGAGTGTTTCAAAATTCTCATCATTATTAGTTAAAATCTAAAAATAAAAAAAGAAGGAGAATCTCATTAGTAAAATAAAAGCTTAATTTTTTTTTTTAAAGAAGGTATTTTCATTTTTTCTTGGTTTGTTGCTGAGAAATGAATCATAATCGCATAATTGCTGTTGAGAAGTGTGATTTATATGGTTTAAAAATTAAATTTTTGGGATTTGAATTTTTTTTTTATTAAAACATGATCCTTTATGTTTCAAAATCGTTTTGAATTTAATACTTTAAATTAAAAAAAAAATTATTTTTTTAATCATAAATTAAATCATAACCAGTCAATTTCGAAACAATAATTAGAATTTAATAACATAACTGTCATTTTTTTAAAGCGATTTAAAAATATCCTAACTTCTGCACACTGCCCAATGCTTTTTTCAACCTTTTTCACCACCACACACTTACTGCTTCACTGCACCACTATGTAACAAACGTTATTGTCTTTCCAAAGCATTGTCTCTCTCCGTCTTTCACTCGCGCGTGGCCCCAACTTTCCATCTTTATCTTCCTCCCCTGTCATTCCGTCAAAATCTTTAATTTAGCTCCTCGGTCTAATTTCTTTGTCCACAACTCTCTTCTTCTACGATACCATGGAGTTCAAGTTTCGAGCTGTGGACGACAGGCCTCCGATGTACTTCTCTCCGTCCTCTAGTATCGGTTACTTTTACGAGCAAGCATTGCGAGGTCCGTATGATTTTCTTTTCTTACTTCTAATTTTTCTAACTCTCTGTTTGGTTCCTAAGAAACTGAAAGGAAAGAAAAGAATAATAAAAACAGCTTTGATCAATTGTTTAATTTTTACGGTATTGTTGATTGTTCCTTGAAGAGTTTCTTGATTGCCAAGTTCAGTGTGGTTACAATGATGGAAGTTTGCTTCCCTTTCTTTAATTTTCCTTGGAACCCAACACAATCACGCCAAAAAGAACTGTACTCTCTTCTTCGATTGAAGCTCTTTTTTTTTTTTTAATCTTTTCTCTCAGCTTCCTATCCAAACGCTGATCCACGACAAATTCCGCATCCAATGCGAAACGAGTTAATCCAGCGCCAAATCGAGAAGGAGCGTATCAGAGAAGAAATAATTGCACAAGAAATTCGTTGGAGGCAAGAGCTCGAAGCGGAAGTGAGGAGGGAGTTACTGGTGGAAAGAGAAATGGCAATGCGAGGGGGAGGAGGAGGAGGGGGAAGACGGATGTCGTTTGAAGAAAGATTGGCAATGCGGTTTGATTCGAGGCAGCCTCTGCTGCCGGGAACTTTTGTTAACCAATTTGATAGTAGCTGGCACGAAGATCGTTTAGCATTTCACGGTCTTGGGGTGTTTAATATGTTGCCGCCGGTGCCAAGGTTACCGGAGTCGGAGATTAAACCTTCAACGGAAAATCACAAGGATAAATTAATCATGCTGGTCAGTCTCATTAAAGTCTTGCTAGTATTCTTTATTCATAGATTAATTATTTATCGTTAAATTCTTGCATTAGATTTTTTAATAACTTGCCTTTTTAAAAAAAAAAAAAAAATTGGAATTGGAACATATTTTGGTTTTGGTTAAAAGGAGAGTTGAGTATCATATGCAAATTGAGTAATTTTTTACTTGTGTGAATCTTTGTTGATTTTCTGTGCTTGGATTCTTATTGTCAGAGTGATAACAGATAAGGCCGTTTTTCATTTTCTGACTTTGTTTGGTGGTATTTCAGATGACTTTTCTTTGTCGCTGAACCTTTAGTCCTAAAAAAAGAAGCTTGTAAGAGTGTTCTTTTGCCTATTAAAAACCCAAAGATGAAAATTTATCGTTGATGATATTCGGGCTCCACCCCTTCATAATGGCAGCCTTTATCAGCTTAGCCAAACCCAAGTCTTCTGCATTAACTACGAATCATATATTACAACTCTGGGCCAAACGGATTCACCCTTAGTTGTACGCAGTTTTTTTTTTCTTCCTTATTCTAAAATTTCTGACAGCATGAATTTTTTTTTTTAAAAAACTTTTGTCTTTTTCCTTAAGAGCATGACTTCCTTTTATAATTTGAAGCAACAAACCCATTCATCTAAATTTAGGAGATTTTTCCCTGCTTAAATGGTAAAAATACTTTCTTTTTTAGCAAAGCATTAAATGATAATTTGCCCAAAAAGAAGGTACTTTTTATTATTTATGTGGCAGGAAAAGCCACTTAGACAGAGACACTGAAGTGTGCATTGAGGGGGCAGTCAGTAAAAGAGGAGTTTTTAAGTGCTATTTCATCCAAATTGGAATCTGTTACGTTTTCAATTCCGGTGAAAAAACACCTAAAAATATTTTTTTTCCCCACCATCACCTTAGTGCCAAACATCATCTTTATACCATCTCTCAAACTTTGCTTCTACGCTCAACCTAGCCTTGCACAGATTGATTTGAATCTCAATTGTGGAAAAAGCTTAACTTCTAGAGTAACTACACTAAAGATTTGATGATTGAAATGCATAAAAAGCAATGCATGACAAAATTTGAATCTCAATTGTGGAACCAGCTTAACTTTTAGAGAAAGTACACTAAAAATTTGACGATTGAAATGCATAAAAAGCAATGCATGACAAAATTCTTACAAAACCAATCCCATGAAAGAAAACAATTGTGAGAAACTCTCCAACAATTAAACAACACATAAATCTGAAACTTTGTGTTTATTGTGAAGGCTGCAAGTAGAATACTAATTCATGTGGAAGCCTAGTGTTCTCACACACAACATTCTTGATGGAAAATTCATGTGCCCTTTGTTGGGAAGGAGATGTAGTAGGTTGATAAAGTAAACACAAAAAGATATGCATATGGAAGTTCTCTCAAAGATTAGAAAAGAAAAAACTGTATGTAAGCTAAACACATGATAAATATTTTATGGAGGCGTAAAAAATACCAACGTCGATTGAGCAATGCAATGGCCCATGATTTACATCTAGGCTTGCTGCCAATACATGTGGTGGCTCTGCTTATGATCCAGCAGATTAGAAGTCTGTTCTCAAGGGCATTGCTGCTGTTGATTAGAGATATCTTCCCAGATCACTGTAGCTACTATTGTTTGCTACAACAATTATTATAGTGCTTTCTCAATCTGGGAAAGGATGGTCTAGATTGGCAGCTTCACTGATCCCTTGGGCTCTGATTTTTCTTTTGCTGGTTTACTTGGAGAACACTGTTTTATGTATATTTAGCTAGTCTTTGTGCTTTTACTTTTTAACTTTTTTGGCTTCACACTGACCAACTCTAGCTGCATGAAACAGGTTCATTTGTAAACGCATGTGCACTGGTGTTAAGGCAAATTATCTACGAAAATAAATAGTTTTGCATCCAATTACTCTGATAAGCTGTATATGCCTTTGTAAGCATGCTTTAACTTGTATGCAGCCTGGAGCACTGCTCACTGTGCTCTCACTGAGTCAGTGTTGTTCTTCTCCCTAGATTTTTTTTTTTTTTTTGGTTGCCTAGAAAATGGTAAGACTTCTTTTCTAGTAAAATAATCTGTTATTTAAACTTCTTACACAAGGGTAGTATGTTCCAAGAAATTTTTAAGAATTTTTCTAGGAAGTGACAAGAACTTGTGCTTATTCTTTGTTAAAATTTTGAAAATAAAGGAAAGTGATGTGTACTTGTTGTTCAATTACCTCCACATTTTGGAGCTTAAATAGCTACTCATGTTAGTGTGTTTGTTAATTAACCTTTTTACATGAAGCATTTTCCCATGTTTTATGAAATGTACTAAAATCATTTGCTTCGTACTTGGCCTGAACTATCACTTTTATCTGTAGTTCTGTACGTTTCTTGTTCGGTTTTAATGCGCACACAAGGTAGTTTATTGGGGAATCCACATGTGCCCTGCACTCTTGATTTTAGTTCCCAAATGCTATAGCATTTGCTTATACTCTTAGGCCAAACTTCACAAGTAACGATTACTCAGTTCAATTAGATGAAAGAATCTGCAACTCTGAAACTTGATGCTGTTGTAGTTGGTCATAAAATTTGGGCAGTAGGGCAGTGTGATCTCCTAAATTGTTTTTCTATATCAAAAACCATTTGATAAAGCATTGGTGAGGTGCTGTGTATACCTGAAATTGGGTTGGCTACCTCTGTTTATTATTTGTTGTCTACTTTGTTGCTGTTCTTTCCCTTTCCATCTTGTTTTAGGTGTTCTCCTAGGAGTTTTGGACCAAAAAGATCTGAACTCATACATATCTTTATAATGGTTGTTAGTTGTATTAGCTCTTAAAGAGAGTATGATCCGAAAAAACAAAAACGCATAGGCAGTGCTTTTGTTGGATGCACAATATTTGAACATAAGTTAAGTTAAAAATATATAAAATCTTGAATTTATTCGTTCAAGTGAATGGTATGGATCATAAAAAGCTGTTTTATTTGATGAAATCTTCTTGTTGTTTTTTTTTCTTTTTTTCTTTTAATTTATTCTTGTGGAGTATTGTGAAACTCACTAATTTTAAACAGTTGAATTTATCATTGGTTAATTCAATTGGCAATTGGTTCTACTTGATAACTCAGAAGTTGAAATTCATTTGTGATGTAATAGATAATTTATTTGTTTGTTTTGTGGTGGTTTTCTTGAATTGTTGTTTATCCATTTGGTTGAATGATTCTCTTGAATTGTTGTTAATCCATTTGGTTGAATGGTCATGTTAATGAAATGTTACCTTTTCTCATTTGGATAGAGGTCACTCAATTCCCATTTTGATTTAGACTTGGTTTTTCAAGTTTAGGGTTTTATATATATATATATATATATATCATAAAGGTTAGAGGGCTTTTACTCTACTTTAGACTGCAGTTCGGTGACTTGTGTCTAGATAAAATATAATAAGCAGTCCTATTACTTTTGTATATACATTAAAAAAAAAGGTCAGCATAAGAGAAAAATCAACATTTCATTAACACATTCATCGCTCCAAATTCATTAACATGAAAAGATAACAACCAAAAAAATAAAAAATAAATAAAAGAAGAAGAACTTAGTGAATGCGTCAATAATCAAGAGTACAATATCTCATCACTTACAATAGCTTTTCAAGATCAACACCATTCATTTTGATGAGCATGTTAACATTTCAGCAAAATTAGGTTACAAATACCCTTTCCATCATCCAAGTGAAAACAAGTCTTTCTCTCTCTTTCTCTTCTCATTCTCATTAACTCTCCCACCAACTCTTTTTCTTATTTTCTCTTCATTCTTCACAAACAAGCTAACATTTGGCTTTTAATATTCCAAGTCATGCCTGTAACTTTAAAATGTTTAAAGGTCTTCATTCTTTCTTTCTTTCTTTTGTTGGTGTTTTTCCTAATGTGAGGTGGGACTAGCCAACAGTTTGACTGAGTGGTAATGTGTGAATCGTGGACGTTATAAAATAAAACAACCAAAAATCAGAAACCATTTTCCAAAGAGTCCATTTTAGTCTTATGTGGGTCTCATTGATTTGACTAATGGCGATGATCTTGAAACTTCTGAAATCGGGAAGAGAAAAAATCGACAGTCATGGAAAACGAGCAGTATCCATTGTACTGGTTCATTTATTCTCTGCTTTAAAATTGCTAGAAGAGTTATTAGTCAACTTTAGAACTAACAGCCTTTATTGGCATTTCTGCTAAAATGAAGTCAACTTCAAGAATTTTTTAGTGATGCATGATTTGTGACATTTGTACTAAACACTTCAGAATTTTCATTTTGTTTTTGCAATCTCTATTATGACAATTCCATGGTTTGAACAGTACAGAGATGCTCACAACATGAACCACAAAAATGTTCATGCCCATTGTACGCCATAAACTGTAATTCATTGGGCTTTATGTGTGAACCAGAGTGGTGGCTCTCTGAAATGGTTTCAAAATTGACAGCTGCACTGTGAGACGTGCTTAATGTTTGCATGTTCCTTCCTGGACTCTTAAGAAATTTGTTAAAGAAGTTTTGGTTTTTTCTTCATCATGCATCTTGTCTGTTTGTGTGCCCTGCAATTGTTGCAGTCTATTAGGTCTGTTTCTGTTAATTTAAGGTCATCCAGAGGAGAAGCGTAGGTTCCCTTTGACATTTGCAAGTTATGTTATGGGGAAAATTTAGGAAAAAAAAATCAATGGGAGAATGAAGGGTAAGTTTTGGACTTTAGTTTAGCTCAATAGCATTACCGTTGTTGTACTAATTAAAAAACCAGTGACTTATTTGAGATGAACTGATTAAAGAACCCTTTTTTTTTCCCTGAGCAAGCATGTTTATTGATCAGAGTATTTCTGTTTTGAAAGTATTTGCCAGATAAGGTGCTTTGCATTTAAATTTTCCCTCTATAATTTAGTATCTTATGGCAGATAATGATGAGTGATGGTAGATCTCTTTGTTAGAATTGTAACTATGCAGTTTTTACCAAGTGTCAATAAGTATTCAATCAATGTAAGCTTTGATTCTGCACTTTTTGAAGTACAATCTGATTTTTTTGTCTTAGTAGGATTGGTGAAAATTTGTATTAATCAGTACTTGAGCATTGAAGCTTGGATTTATCTTACTTTTTGAGTAAAAACCATTCTTGAAAATTTCACCATTCATCAGGCAATTAATGTTTCATATGGTTATGGTTATATACTGTGTTCGAGTATTGTGCTGCAGAAGAGACCTGATCCAAATCTTTGTGGAGCAAAGAGGAAGGCTGTGACACCGTCTGCAGAAGGTGCTGGTGAGCTTCCTTTTGCTGGTATAAAGAAAAAACCGAAGGAAGAATGGAGTTGTGCCCTATGTCAGGTCGGTGCTACAAGTGAGAGAGGTTTAAATGAACACCTTCAAGGAAGAAGGCACAAGGCTAAGGAAGCAGGATTGAGAGCCCAGAAGATGGCCAAGAATCCCAATAATGCATCATTGCAAAAGAAAAAGGCAAAGCCAGCAAAGCTAGCAAACCTCACTGCAGGCTTAGAAATGGGGGCAAAAAATGAAGGTGAATCACTTCAACATAATAAGAGTGATAACATTTCAAACAAGATAACCGAGAATAAAAAAGACAGAGGGAATAAAAATGATGAGCTACTAGTGCAGAAAAATCAGCAACTGGAAAACTTGAACAAAAGTGTGGCAGAAACAGTTCAGATAAAGGGGAGGACACCAGAGATTAGGATGAAAAAGAAATTTAAGTTCTGGTGCGAAATGTGCCAGATTGGTGCCTACTCTGAAGTGGTGATGGAGGCTCATAAAAAAGGGAAGAAGCACCTAGCTCGGCTTCAGGAATCTAGTCAAAACAATCAAGCTGTACAGGCTGATGAGAAGTCAAAAGATTCAGAGTTTGTAATAGTAGGAGCAAAATATTCAGATGTTGTGGCTGAAGATACCAAAGATTCAGAACTTGCTGCTGGCGCAGCAAAAGATTCAGAGCTCGCCACTGGAGCAAATACAAAGATAACAGAAATTGTTGTAGCTAATGAGAAGGCAGAAACTGTTGTTGCAAATGCAGATGAATCACATCCATCTTCTACGATAACAATGGACGAAGAAGGGGCAATAAGAATGGAGGAAGAAGGGGTGCATCAGTGAGAAATAAAAGCAAAGCCTTTCTCAAAAGCTAAAGCAGCCAGAATAATAGAAGTAAATGAAAGAACCACCCTGGCATCTTATTGATCGATTGTAGACAAGGGTGTGGAGTTGTACAGGAGTACCACTCTATGGCATATGTATTATGTGATAAATATTCGTACCCTGTATTCTATTCCAGTAAAAAAATGATAATGAGATGCTGCCGGAATCAATTGACCTTAAAATCTGGAAATTCGATCGTATCATTATCGAATTTATTGTCCTCTTCCTTCGTAGGTTTGGAATGGTTTCCTTGACGAGGTCTCTAGAATAATTGTTTCATCCATGCCATGACCATGGACTCTTAAACTGTTGTTTTAACCATCGTTTGTTTAGTTATGAAATGAATCTCAACATCAAACTGGTCCGCTTTTGGGAAGATTTTGCTTTGAGTCAAGCAACGGTTTCCCCATGTTTATAGTCGAGCATTTTTATTCTTGACAGTTATTTCTAGGATACAAGGGTTGTGGAGGTTACCAGGAATTTTCTTAAAAGCCATACCTTGCAGTTGCAGTTGTATTTGATCTTGATAATGTCCTTGCCTCAAGCCTTGACTTTGTAACGCCCTTCATGTATGCTTGGGCAAAGTTCAAAAGTTCAAATTAATAGTCTACAGTCTACAGTCGAATTAAAAATAAACATTTGCGTTTGGTTGACTTTGGTTTCGACCAAGTAGTCTACAGTCTACAGAAGTTTAAGACTTTTCTACGAAAAGTGAAAAGGCTCACCTATAAGTTCTCCACTACATAAAACCTTCGGCATGTTCAGTGGCCATTGTTCTTCCACCGAAAGCAACAATAATAGTCGTAATTGCTTATACCCTCTTCCATCTCCGTCCATAAAAGGAACAGCTAACCATTATCATTATATACATGACTTGTGGAATTGGTCTTTAGTCTAACCCCTAAAGAATTCATATCAAACAACAAAGCAGGCCCCATCAATTCTATCTTTAAAGGCATTTCCCTTCCTAACCAACAGGGGCCAAATAACGTGGGAGGAGAGTCAATTCAAATCTAACAGATCACAGGCCTACCTATCTTAGTCCAACTAACAATTTACAACACCAAGATTACAAGTTCACGTTTCTTCATGAAAATATGGACGCCACTGCCGGCCAAGAAAGTCTGGTGAAGAAATTGTATGTCTGTTCAACAACCAAGAACAAGAGGCAAAGAAACAAAATTGGGAACCCCACATCAATCAACCAAACCAAAACGCAACTTATTGCAAGATTCCAAACAGGCTGCTTGTTTTTCCTTGAGACCAACTGCGAGAATTATTTACAAAATCTAATTAAGAGATATGACGAATAAGCACAAACTTTGGTTTCTGAGCAATAAGCAATTGAGCATCAATTTCTTCATTTCATCTATGATTATAATATATGGAACTTTTTTTTTCTTTACAAGGAGAAACAGGAAAACGAGAATTAACCATAACAAGTTGAGGCAAGGGGCATTTTCCAGACTTGCCAAAATATAGTACCTACAACTGCAATGATAAGAATGAACTCAAACCCTCAAAGCCACCTGATCCTGCCATGTAATCTTCCGCTTCCCTGCCCGGCTTGATCCATTTCCAACATTCCTACAAGCTGACAACTTCATATCATTATGTAGCTCATCACTTCCACCTCTCATTGAACTAATCTTTGGCTCCTCTGCTCTCAACATGTCGCCATTAACCTGTAATTCTTCCTCCTCTGTCTGCAACGAAGTTAAAATATGACAGTCAGCCCAAAACAGAAAGGAGGCAAAGGAATTCAAAGCTCCGTAGTTCACAACAGTTACTAAATAATTACCGAAATTTCATTCAAGTCAAAAATTGGAGCATTATTCCGCACAGTGGCTTCCTTTCCACTGTAAATCCTTTCCTTCTGGTTCAGGTCAGGAATTGTTGCGGTATTTCGCAATGCAGCCTCCTTTCCAATGTAAGTCTTTTGCTTCTGGTTTAAGTCAAAAATTGGAGCAGGGTTTCGCAAAGTGGCTTCCCTTTCAATGTAAACCTTTCCCTTCTGGTTTAAATCAAAACGAGGAACTGGTGGTCTGGGAGCAGCCGCATTATTTCCACTATAGTTCTTTTCCTTCTTTAATTTTTTACTAGCTACTAAGTTGTGTGGTACAAAATTTCGCTCAACTGGGGGTTTCTGAGACTTGTTTTGTATCAAGTATTTGTATCGCCGTCTCAAAAACCTACAATTCACAAGATAAACAGAGCACAAATTTCAACTTTAATATCCGATTACAAGCCTATGCAAACATAAAAGCATATATAGGCATAATACTGTACCTGACTTCAGCCATTAGGGTCAGTTTTTTCTGCCTCATCATCTGCAATTTCCTTTCCTTGGCTTCTGTTTCCTGAGAAATGCTTAAAAGTATAAATCCATCTACCATTAACAGTTCTATGTTGAAACATAAGATGGAAAGCTTAGAAGAACTACATATGAAGTATTTAAAAGAGAAACGAAGGGAACCAAAAAGGTTTTTCTGTTCAACCTCTGAAAAAGAAGAAGTAAGGAACTAATTATATGGGAATTATTCAACAAGACAGATAGGAATTCAACCAGACAGACAGGAAATATGGGTAAAAGCATGTCCTTAAGAAACCACACAAACCATCACAGCGCGGAAGCCAAAAAAGTATACAAAGATATACACAGGGATAAAATCACAGAGATTAGACACTGATGATTCATGAATTAAACCCAGGAACAGTTACCACATAACAAGTCAACTGATCTATATGGATGCAGATTAAGGGCAAGAAACATGCGAGATCATGAAAAGATCCCAAAATACCACATAGCCACCCCCAGGCAGGCCTTAAACAAGCAATTGGTTTATTGAGCTGCCTATTTATCCTCTACAGCCAAACAGAGAGTATAACACAAAGAAAAGAAAAGGTTTAACACCTTCGAATTTCTAGCTTGGGCAAGACAAGATTCACATGATTACTGAAACAAATCAAAGACTGGACAAGGAAGTTCATTTCTCTTGTTATTCTTAATAATCTCAGCAACCGAAAGAGCATTTGAACAAAGCCCAACAAAGGAGATCTAACAAAACAGCAGATCTAACCAAAACCCACAAAGAAATCAGGAAACTTCGAAAACCCAGAAAAGCCATTACCTTGTATAACTCCTCATAGTCCTGCATAAGACTTTGATGCTTGAACGTGATCCTTGGATCTTCATACATGGTAGCATATGAAGGAGGAGCAGAGTCCATAGCAGCAGCAGCAGCAACCGCTTTCATCTTCTTCATGATGAGATAAGAAATAAACTAGCCCCCAAAACTGAAAATAAAGAGCTCTGTTTGTTTTATGGATAGGAGTAGAGAAATGAAAAGGAGAAAGATGGGTGAGGGAGAAGAAATAAGTAAGGAAGAAAGGTAAGAGAGTTTTAATGAGCAAGAAGAAAGAGAAAGTGATGGGCAAGAAATAATAAAAGGAAGGATAGATGAGATTGGGGAGGGTGAGGATGGTAAAGAGAGATGAGAGAGAGAAATGGGAAGTTTCTTGCTTTCCTGTTTTCTCTGTGAAACTCTGACCAAGACAAAGAAAACCCAAAGAAGCCCACATAATTCGGTGAAAAAAATGTTTTCTTTTGAGAGTTGAGACACTGATGAAGATGGGATTTTTGGGGGGTTGCAGAAGGGTATTTCTGGCATACTGAATTATGGGTTTTGAGGTGAGGTGAGGTGAGGTGGGTTTGGTTGGAGGACAACATTTGAAGACATCTACTGCTTCTACTACTACTGCTCATCCTATGATATCTTTCTCCTCTTTTCTTATTTTTGTTTTTCTTCTAAACATAAATTTTGGTCCAGCTGGGCCATTGAAGAAAGAGAAAGAGAGAGTTGGGTGGTGTGGACTCTTCTTTGTTTTTGAGGATGGGGTGCGTGGAGTTTCCATGTTTCTTCTTTCTTTCTTATTTGGGTGTCTTTCTGTTTTTTAAGCTTCTGTATAGAGAGATAAAGAAAGGGTCTTTGCGTTTTTTTTTTTTTTGCCCTTTTTTTCTTCTCAGTGAGAGAGAGAGAGAGATAGAGAGAGATAGAGAGAGAAGGTGAGATCAATGAAAATGGGTTGTGGGGAGGGTCGGGCTGAAAAAGCAAAGCAAAGAGATAAATTGGATGATGCTGTTTTTTCTGATGTGCTGTTGTTGTTCTTGCAGTTGTTGCTAGTACCTTATTTTTAGGCTTTGGACTGTGGTGATCCCTTCTCTATCTCTCTCTCTCTCTCCCTCTCTTTCAATGGGAGAGAGATGCTTTTCATTCCCCCCATTATTAATATCATACACAAACATGACACACCCCATGTCTATTCTTAGTGCATTTACTCGCATACCCCTTCAAGGTTCCTTTGTCGTCAAGGATTCCCCTCCGTCCCACACAGCCTGCCAGAACATTTGCTGTTCAAAGTAAAGAGAGAATAAAACCCCAATTTTGGCCTCAAGACAGAAACAAATTTCCCAGAGTCAATCTTTTATCAATTTTACCTATCTAAACTGGGTTATAAAAGAGGTTACTATAGGGACAGATTAGTAATTCTGAAAAATCCATTTCTTATTTAATGGTAGGTCTCAATCTCATCCACACCAATCTTCCTGGATTTGGGACGCAACCCACTCCTACCTGTCTAGCCACTAGCCAACTACATTTGACGTAGAACCACCTTCATGGCCTTTGGTAATTGCCACTAGAGGCAGCCTCCATGGAAAAGATGTTGAAATGATGCATTTCTTTCTCTATCTTAAAACAACAACAATCATGTGGTTGCCACCCAAAATAAATGATGACCACAACCTTTCCATTAAAGCGTGCACATTTCAAACTTGAATGTCACCCATCATAGAAGAACTCAAATAAGCATGTACAGGTCACATGGCTGCTTTGGTTGCTAGATTTATTAGCAGGGGGTGAAAAGAAAAGCAAAAAAGCTGCGTTTCAACTTTGGTTAGTTCCCCATCTGTTGCCGTTTTGTCGGTGATTACCTTTTCTTTTCCTCTTAAAAAATTATGATCCATAGGGAGATTGGCAGACGAAGATAAGGGATACTGTTGGCCGTATTATCAGTTTACTGAATTGACGGCAAAGGATGAGGTATTTCTCTTGTTACCTTTTTATTTGTCTTTCCTGTTGGCCCTATTAATTCAATTTTGTGGCAAGGTGAACTTCGTATGTGATATAGACATGCGAACATGATGATGATGTATTTTGCTTTAATTGATTCAAAGTGCCTAAATTTCAAAATACGCAGAGGTGGTCTCTCTTTGTTGTTGACATTTTTCATTTCCAAACCATTTAACGTTGAGGTTAATTATAATAATTTCATCTACGCAGAGGTTTAGAGATGTACTCTAAATTCAAGAGAGAGAGAGAAAATATTAACCTCATGATTTGTAGGCTTCAAAGGTGCAACAGCTAGCTGGTGGATAACAAAGCATGGTGACAAATTAGATTTAGCCAAATAGCCCAGCAGATCGATGCCAATTAATTATAGTTTAATCACATTCATATTCTCTTTCCTCCAAAAACATCCCACATTCGGATATCTTCTTCTTGAAAAAAAAAAAAAAAAAAACAAGAAGAAGAAGAAGAAACTCATTGGTCTTTGAAAGGCGAAGTGCTAGCAAAGCATCCACTTTTCCATGATAGGCAGCTTGAAGTCTTCCCGTGTGTTTGGCATTATTGAATGTATCGTGCATAAAAAGCGAACCAAAGCCTACTCTCGTCAGCTACTAAGGTTATTGCTGTTCCACGAAGTTGACCATCACAGAAGATTCATTCATCTTCGATGCAGATACAGGTTACCTTGCCCGTTGGGTTAGGACTTTTACTGAATGCTTGTCACCATTATTTCAATGGGTTGGGTTATCTCTGTTGGGCTTAACCCAATGTTATCTTGTAAGAGGCAAGACGGGCTCTGACCACAGCTAAGATGATTGGGTACAATTGCAAAAGCATCCATTGCATCTGCAACTCCAACCAGGCCAATCAATTAGCCCATTTGTCATCCTGCAGAGTTCGGACTACTGCTGCATTAATATTGCACAAGTCCTATCCCATTCATCTTTAATTAATGTTCCGCGTGATTTGATTAGCTAATTTATGATTAATAAATATTCTTTGTTTTAAAGTGTAATTTGCTCCTTTATAAATGTACTTTTTTATAGAGTTCAAAAGCAAATATACTTCATGAACTGAATAAAGTTACCACAAATTTAGAATAATAACTTTTTATATCTATCTTATAACTTACAAAGAAAATATATTTTTAAAAAAAGAATAAAAAAATATTATGAGATATATTTACAAGTATTTCAAACATTTTAATGTATTTTTTTTAATGATTTTTTTTAATGAAGAATCATCGACAAAAAATTATAAAATAAAATTAGTATTTACTATGCATGTATTATTTATTTGATCTGTTCTCTCATATCCATTATTATGATTGTGGATATGCACTCATTTTCATTGTGGGTTTTACTATTGTTTCTTTGTGTTAAGTTTAGCCTTTTCTTTTTCTTGTATTTTACCTTCTTTTTTAAAAAAAGGTTATTTTTTTTAGATTTAAATATTTTTTATATTTGTCTAATTGGTTGTTTATCGTCTTTCTCTTTTGTCCGATTTTACTTTTTGGCCCTCTCGATCACTTCTTTCTATTTCTATTTTTCTGACCTTTTTTTGTCATCCTACCTTCTTTAACTTTTGTTGCTCATCTCTTTTACTTCTATTTTCTCTTATGCTATTGGATGTTTTTATGCAATTTTTTTTTGTACTCTGCTAATTTTTTTTTAGCTTTCTATCCTCTTGCTCCCTTTTCGTCATTATCTTTTCTTTTTTAACAAAGCATTAAATGCTCATGTTTCGCAAATGTTACATTTTGATCTTTAATTTTTTCAAACACTTTTGTTTTGATATTGAATTTTATTTGTATTGCAATTTGATCTCTAAATTTAGAGAGGGAAGAGAAACAAAACTAGAGAAGGAAGGAGAGAAAAGTCCTGGCGAAACCCATTCTAACCACTTTGATCCTTGATCTTACTTTCAATTTGTTCATCTAAAAAATAAGAGTATATATATGGTGGTCACAAGACTATGAAATGATCAAACGAAGTAGTTGAGATTCCAAATATTTTGAGTTTTTAAATTTGATTTGGATTTTTATGTCTTTTATGTGCATTGAAATAATCTTTGAATTTCTAAATGAGTTTTTTGATCTTATTTCTATGATTTAAGGTGTTTTAGGAAAACAAAAAAAAAAGATGTTGAAATTGGATTCAAGGGACTTGAAACTAGAAATCTTGATTTTTGGCAAATTTTCTAATGAACTTTGTAGTCGGATGACAAGTCATCCAATTTTCTTTTTTAAAGCTAGCTAGAATAGGCCTAGTTCTTCAATCCTAATGGCCGAAGGCCTAGCTTGATTCCTTTTTTTTTTTTTTTTTTGCTTTTGATTTTTTTCTTTAGTAATTTATTATTATTATTGAATTTTGTTCAAAAATTATGAAAGATTGATCATTATTGTTTAAAATTTCCATACAACATGGAAAGAAAGATGTATATATGATATGTTTTCATATTTTAAAATGAACATATATTACAAATTATGTTACTCTCATTACTTAAATTTTATTTCTTTAATTGGTTATCTTTTTTGAAAATTCTCATCCAATCATTTCTTATCCTAGAAGAAAGGTTATCTTACTTGTTTCTATTCCTAATTTTATTTCTTATAAACCATTATTTTTTCTAATTATTTTCCAAGCTTTTTTTTTTTTTTTTTACTTTTTTTAAAGTTAGATCAATATGAAATTGAAATTAATTTGAAGAATTAATTCTTCACATTTATTTATTCCAGCTTTTAGAACCCGATATTAGAAGTGTCAAAAAAGGGGCTTGAAGGCTTGTTTCCATTTATTTTTTGGCAAGGTTTGAAGATAAGGTATTCGGGGCATTAGCATCACCTAATCCAATTAAAGATTTTCAATGGTCTTATCAATTAAAAAAAAATAATTATTACAAAAATGATTTTCAAAATCGAAATTTCATCCAATTGTACATAAAATGGAATAATAATTTTTTTTTCAATTATTGATAAAATCTCGGTAAATTGTTATCGGACCTTAAAACTAATAGTCTTGTCAATTTAATGTCGAATCCGAGTTAATTTTCAAAATAAATTATATTTGAAAAATATATTAAATGAGAATGCAAAATTTGAAATGCAAACTAGCGCAAGCATGGTTCGAAATGAAATA